GTCGGAAAACTCTTTTTTTTTTTTACATTTTTGTAACAATGCATCTGTTTATACAGTGATGTAAGTTGTATATTGTTTTCAAGTATATTGCATTGATATATTATCCGGTCACAGAGCTCCCATTGCAAGTTGAATGTTGCTGAATCAGCAGATTCTATTTGAGCTTTCGATGTTGTTTGGAATGTTGTCACTTCTTAACTTTTTTGTTTACGCAAGCAGCAAACAGATCTATGATTATTATGACGGTCATGTAAGGGGGTTTTGTTTTTTTTTATTTGGGGGCAAAAGCAAATGATTTGATAAGTTAATTACTGGGAAAATTTGGACAGCAACGTAGAAAATATGACTTTCTCTTAGTTTTAGAGTGCATTAAATGTGAACTCATGTAAGGCTTAAGGATTGCATTTTTATGTCCTATTCCTATCCTCATAGTCTTCATTACAAAAAACGCCACCTAAATTATAATCTTTGAATTAGGTTTGTATTGTTATGAAGTTGCAATCAGATCTCTAAGAGAAGAATGAGTTCTTACATAACTTTCTACAAAATGTCTCAGTTGTTCAATGAGAACTCATGAAGAAAAAAATAAAAGACAACACATATTTTTATACATCAGCTTCAATTTAGCGTTCATTCACCCTGAGCACACCTAATTAATACAGGTCGTGATTTGAAATGGGACTAGCGAATTCATTGGAGCTTAGAGGAATAGCGAATTCATTGGGGTCTAGAGGAGTAGCGAATTCTTAGATGAGTAGCGAATTCATAGACAAGTAGCGAATTCTTAGAGGAGTAGCAAATTCATGATTGTCGTTTTTTTTTATTTTTAGCATAGTGAACAACTGTAAAAGATTCTGCTAGGAGCAGAACTATTTTAGCCCTTATGTGTCCAGAAATGTCTGATCTAGAAGCAATTCTGTTTTTAAATTAATGATTTCACATTTAAAAATACCTCTAAATATCGCTATAAGCAAGTCACTATATTTCACTATTACTATTACCTTTATTTATTTCTGGAATTTTTTTTTTATTCAAATGGATTGAATACGTAACAAGAGCAATTTGTCATTCTTCCTTCTCGTTTATTTGTGCAGACAATTCCGGAAATGCGTGGTTACGAAAGTATAAATAATCCACCGTCTGCCAGTTTAATTGGGTCAACGGAAATAACGTTGATTTAAAATCCAAGAATAAATCCTTGTGAAATGTCAAACATTGGCACTTGGTTCAATTGGTTGCTCGGAAGACAAAGCGAAAATACCACTACTTAAAACAAGTTGTTAAAATATGACTACTTAAAATAGCGCGTATGTGACTAGTTAAAATACGACTTGGTCAAGCACGCCTAATTAAAATCAACAAAAACGATCTTCTAATCCATCTTTTGCTCTCACTGTCCCACTTTTATGTTCATTCAATTAATCCTGACACTGTAAGCACCACTCGAGACGGCCAATTATAGCTGACCAATCAACCTGACCTGAAAATAAAGTCTTGTCCATGGTGTGATAGCAAGAGTACCTGTTTGACTGACCAGTGCTGTGGATGGTGTGACAGAGTGACTATTTAACTGACCAGTGATGTAGATGGTGTGACAGAGTGACTGACTGACCAGTACTGTGAATGGTGTTGCAGTAAAAGAGATTGTTTGACCAGCATTGTGGATGGTGTGACAGTAAGAGTGACTGCTTGACTGACCAGTATTTTGGATGGTGTGACAGTAAGAGTGACTGACTGACCAGTATTGTGGATGGTGTGACAGTAAGAGTGACTGACTGACCAGTATTGTGGATGGTGTGACAGTAAGAGTGACTGTTTGACTGACCAGTGCTGTGGATGATGTGACAGTAAGAATGACTGTTTGACTGACCAGTATTGTGGATGGTGTGACAGTAAGAATGACTGTTTGACTGACCAGCGCCTTCGGATGGTGTGACAATAAGAATGACTGTTTGACTGACCAATATTGTGGATGGTGTGACAGTAAGAATGAATGTTTGACTGACCAGTATTGCGGATGTTGTGACAGTAAGAATGACTGTTTGACTGACCAGTACGGTGGATGGTGTGACAGTAAGAGTGACTGTTTGACTGACCAGTACTGTGGATGGTGTGACAGTAAGAGTGACTGTTTGACTGACCAGTGATGTGGATGGTGTGACAGAGAAAATCACTGTTTTAACAGTTACTGACTAATTAGTACTGTTGATGTTGGGACAGTAAGAGTGACGGACTGACCATTACTGTGGATGGTGTGACAGAGAAAAGGATTGTTTTAAGAGTTACTGACTGATCAGTACTGTTAATGGTGGGACAGTAAGATTGCATGTTTGACTTATCAGTACTGTTGATTGTTTGACAGTAAATGTGACTGACTGACCAGTACTGTTGGTGTGTACTGACTGAATTTAGTGACCTGATTCTCCTTCCTTGTTGTCTGGCTGGACATTTTAACTTGTTTTCGTGAATGTTGAAACTTAAATGTGTGAATATTAGTTAGATAACGGGAGTGAGTGCTCATGTGTTCTGGGGTATAAAACAAATGTAGAATTGTGAATAAAGTTAGTTGTTACACAGACCGCAGACTTGAATTGATAATTGATAAGGCTTTAACACATCGTTCTCAGTTTAATTTTTTTTTTTTTTGAAGTATTGCTCATTAACTGAGATTTTATGAAATATGTTCAATGTGTCTTATTATTTTTTTTTTTTTTACTTTAATTAATTCATTCTTTAAATGTATATAAATTTTTAACTATTTATTTATTTATTTAATTTTTTTTTTTTTTTGAAGTATTGCTCATTAACTGAGATTTTATGAAATATGTTCCATGTGTCTTATTATTTTTTTTTCTTTTACATGAAGTAATTCATTCATTAAATGTATAGAAATGTTTAACTATTTAGTTATTTACTTAATTAACTCGTGCTATCAGTAAAAAAGAAAATGTCTTTTTTTTTTAATATTTCCGCAAAGTTTTTAAAGCAAACAAATACTTGTAAAAACGGTTGAAGGCTAATGATATTCCTTGAGTAAAACAAATAAAGAGAATTCCTTACTTAAATCATTGAAACGAACCTACTGTGTCATAATAGGCAAGATGTCGGAAATGATGAAATATGTGCCCAAATCGTTTTTGACAGATGTGTAACAAGGAAATCATTTCTGGCTATGGGAAACGCGTGGATCTGGGGGGAAAAAAATGGGGGGGGGGTGTTCCACGTTCGTGGTTTCATTAAGTTTGAGATGTAAAATTAGCTTTAAAATCAGGATTTTGCGCATCGGCTTTGTGGGTGAGGATCGGTTAATATAAGTTTGTATTGGTGCACAGAAAATGAACATCTTTCCTGTGCATGATGCGTAAGATAGATGTGCTCATTATACGAGCACATTGTGTTGTGTGGTATGTGTAAGGTAGCTTTGATCATGACATGAGAACATTGTGCTGAGTTTTATGTGTATGATGGCTTTGATCATGTCATGAGAACATTATGTTGTGTGTTATGCGTAAGATGGCTTTGCTCATGTCATGAGAACATTGTATTGTGTGTTATGTGTAAGAAAGATTTGCTCATTAAATTGTGTGGTGTGTTAATGTACGTTGACGTCTGAATGTTGGGAAACGCACCATTATTGACAAATCCTTCATTGACCAAGGTGGGTCAACTTTTTACTTAATAGCTGCTGTAGTTGTTGCGAATGAGCTGTAACATTAGCACAATTATATATAAATCATAAAATATCACTATTAGATCAAATTGAATTTTCTTCGAACTAAATATTTTGGCAGTTGCCATTAGATGATTATGTCAGAAGATGGCAAGCTCCAATTTATTTTTCATTGTGTCATCCTCTACGGGACGGAAACTGATTGGTCAGTTAATGATGTTTTTGGAAAAGGTTATCTTAAGCCAACACTTTTCTTACAACAGAAACTAACACTGTTTATAACACGGAAACTAACACTGTTTATAACACGGAAACTAACACTGTTTATAACACGGAAACTAACACTGTTTATAACACGGAAACTAACACTGTTTATAACACGGAAACTAACACTGTTTATAACACGGAAACTAACACTGTTTATAACACGGAAACTAACACTGTTTATAACACGGAAACTAACACTCTTCATACCACAGAAATCATCACTGATCATAGCACAGAAAATAAGAAGGTTCATATCACACAACAAAGTTTCCATTTTGTAATAAAAATGTAAAAGTTGTAAAAACGTTCACTTTTTTTTTATTTTAAAATATTGATGTATTGTTTCTGATGTCAAAAAAAGAAACGTCTCACCTTGACAACTCCCCTTGACTGCTCCCCTTGACTGCTCCCCTTGACTGCTCCCCTTGACTGCTCCACTTGACTGCTCCACTTGATTGCTCCACTTGACAACTCCTCTTGACTGCTCCCCTTGACTGCTCCCTTTGACAGCTCCCCTTGACTGCTCCCCGTGACTGCTCCCCTTGACTGCTCCCCTTGACAACTCCCCTTGACTGCTCCCCTTGAATGCTTCCCTTGACTGTTCCTCTTGACTGTTCCCCTTGACTGCTCCCCTTGACTGTTCCTCTTGACCGCTCCCCTAGACTGTTCCACTTGACTGCTCCACTTGACTGCTCCACTTGACTGCTCCACTTGACTGCTCCCATTTACTTCTCCTTTTGACTCTTCCACTTCACTGTTCTGTTTGATTGGTCCGCTTGACTAATAATCTTGATTACTCCCCTTGACTGCTTCACTTGACTATATCACTTGATTACTTCCCCTGACTGCTCCACTTACTGCTAAGATCACCATCACAAACAGGGATAACCTCTAGAACTTGCCTTCTTTCATTAAACTAGTTGCCTTCCCCTTACAGATGTCAATCATGAACTTCAGCAACTTCTCCGTGTTTACTCTGAGTTCGACCACGCCCAGCAACCTAACCCCTCCACCAGCGAGCAAGCCGGGCTTCACCCACACAGAATGGATTGTTGTCTCCACTATGCTGTCCGTCTTCTCCGTCACTGGAACCATAGGAAATGCCCTGGCCATATATGTCTTCGCCAGCCTCAAGCAAAAGGTAAATTGGAAAAAAATATGTATGCTGCATTCCTTTTCAAACAACAATACAAACTCTGTAATATTATCATCAATACAAACCCTCTAATATTATCATCAATACAATCTCTGTATATTATAATCAATACAAACTCTGTAATATTATCATCAATACAAACTCTCTCATATTATTATCAATACAAACTCTCTCATATTATCATCAATACAAACTCTCTCATATTATCATCAATACAAACTCTCTCATATTATCATCAATACAAACTCTCTCATATTATCATCAATACAAACTCTCTCATATTATCATCAATAAAATCTGTAATATTTGCATAAATACAATCTCTGTAATATTATCATCAATACAAACTCTGTATATTATAATCAATACAAACTCTGTATATTATAATCAATACAAAGTCTGTAATATTATCTTCAATACAAACTCTCGCATATTATCATCAATACAAACTCTCTCATATTATCATCAATACAAACTCTCTCATATTATCATCAATACAAACTCTCTCATATTATCATCAATACAAACCCTCTCATATTATCATCAATACAAACTCTGTAATATTATTATCAATAAAATCTCTGTAATATTATCATCAATACAAACCCTCTCATATTATCATCAATACAAACTATGTATATTATAATCAATACACACTCTGTAATATTATCATCAATGCAAACCCTCTCATATTATCATCAATACAAACTCTCTCATATTATCATCAATACACAGTCTCTCGTATTCTAATCAATTCAAACTCATATTAACAGTGTATCCAAGAAGTATTTTTTAATTAGCATAATAATTACAATTTTAAACTTTTCACCATTTCATACATCTTAAAATTGTTATAAAGATATATTTGATATTATGAGTAATTTGATATTTCTTTCGCTAAACAATTAAATTAATTTATTAGAGAAACAACAATAAATGTCAAAGTCTAGTTTCTAAAATATATTTTAATGAATTTATAGTTTAATAGAATATGTATCGTCTTTGACATTTTACTTAGCTTCCGTCTGGCTTAGCCTCCATCTGACTTAGCTTCCATCTGACTTATCTGTCATCTGACTTAGCATTCATCTGTTTCGTAGCGTTGGTTATACATTATCCACCTGAAAATGTCACTGATTATTGCTAAAGACACTATGGCAAAGTCATCTCTGAATATCTCTCAAGGCGTGCAACGAATCCATGGCTTAATATGGATTACTATTTTAATCTAAGATAACGAGATTCCAACTCAACGTCAGCATGTTCTCGTGTTCCAAGCTGGTCGTCTGCTTCATATAGAGCTCTGACCATCACAATTTCCGTTGTATAATTACGAGAGAATCATCACGAATACACAGACCATCCGACACTACTGATCCCCAATGACAGTTACAAGTCGACCCGTCCTGTCGTTCATCAAAAAACATCTTTTAATAGCCTACTTTGGTTAGGGTTAGAGTTATGACAACTTTTAATAGCCTTCTTCGTTTCCGTCTGTCCATTTGGTTCTTATCCAGGAAAAGATTTTACAAGTTGCAGAATTTGTCTAGCCAGCTAACATTACTTCGTTACCATTGACTAACATAAATATTTAAATTATAATTATTGGATATGCATATTCTTATTAAAGCAAATCTGGTGGATAATAGTGTTGTAGTGAAGCCAACCTTTACGAATAGTTCGTCCAATGATTGACATATTTCTCTGGGCTGGACGCTGAATGGGTAGTATCTTAATGGCCTTCGTTGACCCACTATATGATGTATTCAGGACCCTGCTGGCCCCATGACGTCTCTCTCTATCTTCACAGGGAGTCTATACATATCTTATTAAGACCTGCTAGTTTCTTTGCTATTATGAATTAATCATAAATAAAACTGCTAGCAGTCCAAACTTAAAACTCGTTACATTTATTATAGTCTAACAATTCCTCAGTTAATCATGTTGCCTCATTACATTTTTTATACTCAAAAAAATTCATCTTTTATTCATGTTGTTACCAAGGAAAGCATATTCTTTTTTTTTTTTTTTTTTACAACATTTTAGAAAAGATTTAGTTATTAAGAATTGATTTAGTTATCGAGATGTGCTGGAAACCCTGGGCTAGCCTTCACTGGAGAAACGATGACAACTTTCCAGGCTCTAATTTTTTTTAATCAAAAATTTTTATTTTTTTTTTTTTTTTTTTCCATGGTATTTTTTTTTTTTTTTTTTTTTTTTTTTACAACATTTTAGAAAAGATTTAGTTATTAAGAAGTGATTTAGTTATCGAGATGTGCTGGAAACACTGGGCTAGCCTTCACTGGAGAAACGATGACAACTATCCAGGCTCTACATGATGTATTAGCTAAATAATGGGCTGGCCCACTGCTCTAGCATTAAACAGAAAATCGTCCCTCTGCCCCTAGACAAGGACGGGGCCATGAGCGGAGGTTCCAGCTAATAACAGCAAGAAAACAGTACAGAAACTAATTTATCCTGCCAAAGACAATCAGGAACTGGAACAAGCTTCCAAAAGGATTTGTGGAGGCGAAAACACTTGACACATTTGAGTCTATTGCCTCAGGTCTTCCAAGCCCAAGTTCATGATACCATCGCTGGGTAGCCCCGAAAAAGTGAAATATACTCTTCAATACCAGGCACAGAAACATAGTGAATACCTACTAAGAGATGAGATGAGAGCCTAAGAGATGAAAATGTTCTTCCGATAACTACTTTGTTATTTCTTGAAGTTGGAGTAAATAATTAATAAATTATGTCTTCAGGTTCTCGCTAATCGGCTGAATTTATGTTATCAATTTCAAATAATTTGATTTAATTTTTTATTGTTTGCTGAAGAAGGCGTTTAGTAGAAACATCTTTTTAATTGTTCTGTCGCTGGATAGCAGAAATATTATAAACATTAGCAGTGGTCGGTATAAGTCGCTGGATATCGCTAGAGACTAGAGAACTATCATAAACATTTGCAGTAGTCAGCATAAATTGATGGATAGCACTAGATAACTATCATAAACATTTGCAGTAGTCAGCATAAATTGATGGATAGCACTAGATAACTATCATAAACATTTGCAGAGGTCGGTATAAGTTGGTGGATAGCAATAGAGAACTAAAATAAACATGTCATTCTAAATGTAAATTTGTATTCTTGTTCATTTATTTAACCTGATTGTGTTCCAGTAGTTGAACTGACAGTCTCAAAGTGTAAACTATTATTTCTTAGCCCTTATCATTCCAGCTGACATCCACCATCTTCATTCTGACCCTGGCCGGGACGGACTTCATAACCTGCCTCATCACAATCCCATTCACAATCCTCATAGAATTTTTAGAGTTCAAGGTCGGCAGTGACGAAGTGTGCAAGATCTACCATTTCCTGATCACCACCACCGTTCCCTTCTCGTGTGTCGTCATTGTGGCCATCGCGGTGGACAGGTGGGTGGATTTGTTTTTCGTTGAGTTTTTTTTTTTTTTTCAATTTATGTCCACAACGGTCGGTGACCTTTGAACCCTAACCATATCTCGATGTAAGATTTATATTCTAACTGGCAAAAGAATAGTTCGAAATTTATGTTTATAAAATAGAGTACTGTCTGAAAATGGGTGTCCACCATCGATAACTTTCTTAATAGACTTGGAAAGTTGGGAGAAAAAAAAATTAACATCCATTTTTATTAGCCATGTTAACATACACACACACACACGCACACACAAACACACATATTACTTAGTAGAAGACATTCACCACATCTGAGTAAAACATTGTATACAATTGACGTTCATGTTACAGAAGCCTACATTTAGCCTAAAGCGCATCAATTTTTATTAGACACCTTCAATTTGGGAATCATTTCCAATTAAATAAACCTTTCATAATATATCCACATAGACTTTTTCCTAGACTGATCCTTTCATTAATATATCCACATAGACTTTTTCCTAGACTGATCCTTTCATTAAGATATCCACATAGACTTTTTCCTAGACTGATCCTTTCATAATATATCCACAAAGACTTTTTCCTACCCAGATCTTCGCAACTTTTACTGCAAAAAAAAAAACAACACAAATATGTGAGTTATATTTTGTTTTAACAAAGGCTAAAAACATGAATGTCATTATTCATATTCAGGGGCGTAGCATGGGAAAGCTGCGCTCGAGAGAAAGCATGAATTTAGGGTGCTAAATGTTGTCTGGCTTGATGCCCCCTTAATGCTCCCCCTCCCCTCCTCCCCATCACACAGTCTTGTAATAAAACTACTCTTCCTCTGATTTGGAATTCATGCCATAATAAAAAAAAAATTGTGAATATTTGTTTTAAATCTAAACTTATATGATTTTGATTTTATTTAAAAATAGAGTTATATGTATTTAGAATAGAGTTACATGTATTTAGAATAGAGTTACATGTATTTTGAATAGATTTACGTGTACTTTGAATAGAGTTGGCTGTATTTTGAATTGTTACATGTAATTTATCTTTTATAAAATATATGGGTTATGCTATTTTTCGATTTGACCCATCTTGAATTACAATGCAACTTTATATAAATGTAACCTGTTATCCACAGGTATATGTGTATTTGCCATCCATTCCACCACTGGATGAACATCCAGAGGGCACGCATCATCATCGGCGTCCTCGTTGTCGTCATATTCGCATTCGGTGGCCTGGTGTGCGCCCATTACACCATCTACAAGAAGCATGATATAGAGATTGGCAACTCCAGCTCCTTGAACATCAATCACTACAACATCACGGTGGGCGGGATGACCTTCACCCCCGACCCCATCTCTCCCGGCCCGAGCTACTCCTCAATTACGTCGATGAACAAGACCGCACCAAGCCCGACAATGGCTCACCACAACGAGACGACTACCGCCATTGACGTGAGCCCCACGGCTAAATACACGTACATGAAGACGACATGCGACATTCAGGAGGATTTGATTGACAAGCGGTTCTACTACGTGTTCAGACAGCTCTATGTCGGCATCTTCTTTGTCAGCTGCATCATCGTCTTTGCCCTCTACAGCCTCATCTACAGGTGAGTCGGACGAAACCTGAGCCATGGGTTGGAATAGGGACACCCAAACTTTGGGATGAATTAGGACACCCAAGCTTTAGGTTGGAATAGGGACACCATAGCTTTGGGTTGGGTTAGGGACACCTGAGCTTTGGGTTGGGATAGGGACACCTGAGCCTTAGGTTGGGATAGGGACACCCGAACTTTGGGATGAATTAGGGACACCCAAGCTTTAGGTTGGGATAGGGACACCCAAGCTTCAGGTTGGGATAGGGACAACTGAGCTTTGGGTTGGTATAGGGACACCTGAGCTTTGGGTTGGGATAGGGACACCTGAGCTTTGGGTTGGGATAGGGACACCTGAGCTTTGGGTTGGGATAGGGACACCTGAGCTTTAGTTTGGGATAGGGACACCCGAACTTTGGGATGAATTAGGGACACCCGAGGTTTGGGTTGGGATAGGGACACCTGAGCTTTGGGTTGGGATAGGTCACCTGAGCTTTGGGTTGGGATAGGTCACCTGAGATTTGAGTTGAAAAAGGGACACCTGAGCTTTGGGTTGGGATAGGGACAAATGAGCTATGCGTTGGGATAGGGCTATAAACACCTTAACCTTGGGCTTGGGATATTGATACCTGTGCTCTCGGTTGGGATAGGGCTAAGGACACCTGAACTATGGGTTGGGGCTAGAGACACCTGTACTATTGGTAACCATAACCCTAACCTTTTCAGAATACTTCATTGAAACATCTTTACGCTTCAATTATTTTTCCCTTAAATGGATTCATGATAAATAAAATGCCAATAAAATTAATTAATGCACATATCGACCCGGATGTATTTGAAAAACATAACCTCGCAGTATTATATCACTCTAACCCTAACCTCGCAGTATTATATCACTCTAACCCTAACCCTAACCCTAAACCGTAAGTATTACAAAAACCTAACCGCGCACTATTACAAACTCTATTGACAACTCGACAATATTACAAAAGTCGAATCTTAAACCGCCAGTAATACAAAATATTTAGACCATTCAAAATGTCTAATATTTCCCATCCTACATCAAAGAAATCAGAAATCTAACATATCAGGCAGACAGTCTACAAGATGTCAGAAAGTATAGAAATAAGTATAGAAATAAATATACAATGTATTCCAAGTTATCACAACTTTCCAATTTCTCTTTGCAGGTCAGTCATCGCTCAGCGGAAGAAGAAACTACACATCAAGTCCGCTCAGTGCTGCTTATTGTGGAACGCGACCAGCGTAGACACGCCTCATGAGGCGGCAGAGATGACCCAAGACATAGAACTGAGCCACGTCAACGGCGAGGAACGCCTCACCACCCGTCACAACTCAAGCACCATGGAGGATCTGGAGCCTCACAACAACGGGGCTGTCCGAAAGTGTTCCCTGTCCAAAGCCCGCATCGAACGAATGAGGGTGGCAAACATAAAAACGGCCTTCACCTTGTTTATTGTGACCTTGGTGTTTATCATGGCTTTCCTTCCTTCCTGGTTGATGGCCTTGAGCCTCATTCCCATGAAGGTCATCATTTTCTACATGCATTTCGTCTACAATGTTGCAAATCCGTTCATCTACGCTTTCCTTAATCAGAATTTCAAAACAGAGCTTCGAAGAATTCTGCGTTGTGGCAAACAATGACGTTTTATGGACAAATTTAAAAATAGAACTTCGTCAAGGAAAACCATTTCTACTTCTATTAGGCGGGATCAAACACAAATTACATAACGAGGAGTGAAAAGAGGAGAAACCAAATGCACTTAACAACGCGTTGGTTACGTTTCCATTCAGTAATGTAAGAAGGCAAAATGATATCGAATGCCTGAGCACACAATGAACGACAGCAGCACGTGTACAGCAACATGTGTACAGCAGCATGTGTACAGTAACACCCACACTTCAAATAAGTTCGTTTGTGCTACAGCCATTACGACAGTTACGGAGAAATCGTGGCTTCTTGTCAACTAAATGATTCAGATAATCATCATCACATCTTTGAAACTTTGCCTACGGTCCAGATTTGTCAAAACATTCTCTAATTACAGCCATAACCGTTGTTATGAATGAGACTCTTCTATATTTAAAAACAGTTTTAATTGCTGTGTTTATTTTGCACAATTAATTTTAATGGAATTAAGTTGATCCTAAATCGGGAAATGTGATGTTGACTTTTGCTTTAAGCCTACTCCATTTATCTCTGATTTTGCATAATTTGAGTAATGACAAGATATTGAGCTTGTTGAGCTCGATTACAGGAGAGTAAACATTGCTGCTGTAAGAGAAGGAATCCTCTCGGTCCGCCTCAAGTCCAGCGCTGATTGCGCAGTTCGTCAAAAGCCACCCCTTTTCACATCTATCATGGCGTCAAGTCTTCGCTAACCAGTGTGTTAACGTGGCTTATCGTTGAAACATTTCCAGACTGTCGCATTGTCGCATGGTGGAAGTTAATGTTTCTATAATACACTTCTGACATTCATTGGTATATAACAGTAACATGTCATTCATGCGAGCTTTGTTAATCAAAGTGGATCATAAACAAATAATTTTTGTATCATCAGAGAGTGAAAGAACGTAGGTTATAGTATGCGTAATGTCAGAGAGAATATTTAAACAAAAAAATATAATTTCTATGATTTCATTTACGCAACAAAATCAAGCGTGTGATCTTTGGGTGGGCGTCACGCGTTGTGATCTTTGAGTGGGCATCAGACAGTGTGATCTTTGAGTGGGCATCAGGCAGTGTGATCTTGAGTGGGCATCAGGCAGTGTGATCTTTGAGTGGGCATCAGGCAGTGTGATCTTTGAGTGGGCATCACGCATTGTGTTCTTTGAGTGGGAATCAAGCAGTGTGATCTTTGAGTGGGCATCAGGCAGTGTGTTCTTTGAGTGGGCATCAGGCAGTGTGATCTTTGAGTGGGCATCACGCATTTTGTTCTTGGAGTGGGAATCAAGCAGTGTGATATTTGAGTGGGCTTCAAGCAGTGTGATCTTTGAGTGGCATCAAGCAGTGTGATCTTTGAGAGGGAATCAAGCAGTGTGATCTTTGAGTGGGCATCAGGCAGTGTGATATTTGAGTGGGCATTAAGCATTTTGATCTTTGATTGGGCATCGAAGATAGTGAAAAATTACTAAAATTACAAATCTTAGTTTCAAGAGTAAGAATGGTTACATTGGGTAAGTCTATGTGTGGACTGCTATTAGGAGATAACAAGTGTTCACATTGTTTCATTTTAAGCAGACCCTACACAAAAATAATAAGTGTGAAAGTAACTGGGGTGTTGCCGAGTGTTCTTAACTGGCTCAAACCAAATAGCTAATGGGCTATCCCCACCAAAGCCGACATCCCTGGGTGGATGGGACCCGCTAGTCCTGGACGGCAACTAAACTAAGAGAAGGCAAACTCTGGGTAAAAACCAGGAGCCAGAATATTGAAAAAAAATACTTGTACAGTGACTGGAACATGATCCTGGCAATTGGTACAATAACTGGAACATGATCCCGATGATTGGTACAATGACTGGAGCATGATCCCGGCAATTGGTACGCTAACAGAAATATGATCCCGGCGATTGGTACGATAACTGGAATATGATCCCGGCGATTTGTAATATGACTGGAACATGATCCCGGCGATTGGTACAGTGATTTGAACAGGATATTTGACTCATATGTGTGTGTATTTCGAACCATAATGGTTGTCAGTTCCTATATAACAAAACCAAAGTGTTTTCTGTAATTATATGAAAAGAGTTACACTGGTCGTCAGTCTTGACATAACAGCTAGCTCGTAGCTCGTAGGTCATTCTTGCTCATTTCAAATTGTTAAATATACAATTCACCAGTAAACGAGATTATGTAAGTGATAAGACAACAATGTTCCTAGTTCATTTGAGAACTTCTTCTCAAAATATAGTATTCGAATGCTGGCTTTAAAGTTGAAAATATTATTTCAAATTGTATTTTTAAGTCAAGATTGATATTTGACATTTGTTTATTGAAATGGTAGTGGAATGTGAAAATGGTGACATGTCTTTGACCAGAGTCATCACTTGGGCCAATGTCTTTGACCAGAGCCATCTCTTGGGCCCATGTCTTTGACCAGAGCCATCACTTGGGCCCATGTCTTTGACCAGAGCCATCACTTGGGCCCATGTCTTTGACCAGAGCCATCACTTGGGCCCATGTCTTTGACCAGAGCCATCTCTTGGGCCCAGCAACCCCTATTCACAATGGCCCATCGTGGTGATATTAAAGGAAAAATTAAATATCAAGGGCCACAAAACCGAAAAGTGGCACAATGCCTACAAAGGTTGCGCGATGGCTTTGCACCTTACCATCAACCAAACTTGAAATTTGAAATGCTAAATATGAAAACTACCGCCATGAAAACTACCGCCATGACAACTACCGCCATGACAACTATGGCGGAAGCTGAGTTTTAATTATTTATCTGAGGGGTGGGGGCTGGGAATAAAAGAATATGACGCCATTCTAATTCAAGAATATATTAATATACATTTTTTACATTTTATGTTGAGATATTTGTCTATCATCGTCTTTTTGAAAGAATGATTATATGACTATTTTCCTCCAGCTCAAGACTAAATGTTGACCGATTTATAAAAAATTATTTGATTTACAATCGAAAAATCACAAAATTAAACTAAGAAGCATTAAATTCTAGATTACTTACTGGAGTAAATATTTTAGAGTGATATACAATTACATTTTCTTTAATATATTTTTTTTATACTTTAAATATAGTTAGCCGTAAGACAAACGTCATAAAAGGAAGCGACAAAAGATTGTGGACATACAGAACCTAAATAAGACAAACGCTGGCATGTAACCATACGGAATCAACAAGACTAGGAAGACGTAAAATAAATGGCGTGGAGATTAAAGCATGAGCATCAGATCAGAAGCATTTGGAAAGATGTTCAGAAGTTAACAAGAGACCGTCAGGCGCGATATGATTTTGTTAAGGGCCTGTGTTTTCTGTGATTTGATTTTTTGTAATGGTCTTTGTTATAAAAGTTGAAATAACAAAGATTAAGGTATGTAAAATAAAAGTGTTATTTTAAAAACAGAAAAATTAAAACATTATCTCATCATTTCCTTTTTATGGATTTTCAAATAATTTCTGATGATCTAATGATGTTCTTCTAAAATTAATTGTCACGTGTTTGGTACAATTCTTTCATTACAGACTGAATGTCATGTTGGTTAATTTGTATCAAAATTAGCTTGATCAATTGTTCTCGTAAAAATGTTTATCAATGGTTTGTTCTTGTACACATGTGGATCAATGGTTTGTTCTTGTACAAATGTGTATCAATATTTTTTTCTTGTACACATATGTATCAATGGGTTGTTCTTGCACACATGTGTATCAATGGCTTGTTCATGTACAAATGTGTATCGATAGCTTGTTCTTGTACAATATCTATCAATGGTTCGCACTTGTACAAATTTGTATCAATGATTTGTTCTTGTACAAATGTGTATCAATGTCTTGTTCTTGTACAAAAGTGTATCAATGGCTTGTTCTTTTACACATGAGTATTAATGAGTTGTTCTTGTAGAATTCTGTATCACTGATGTATTCACTACATGATTGATTTTTTATAGAAGACTTTCCATTATCTGTATGTTAATTCGAATGATATCGATTCTGTATATTTGACAGTCCATGTGAACTAAAATGTTCATATAGGCCTGTCAAATGTTGTAACATTATATATTTACATATATGAATGTATGAATTGATCATTTAAAAAGTTGATCGTTCTAAAATGTATTGTATATTTAAGCCTACGTATATAATGATTACTTGTAAGGATTTATTTTTTACTTTTGTTGATTGACATTTGACTTTTGTTCATAAACTTTTGACTTTTTTATTGACCTTTTGACTTTTGTTGATTGACATTTGACTTTTGTGTACTTTTTTAGACATTATTTATTTATTTTTTTTCAGTCGTGTGTATCAAAGCAGAATGTAATTAATACCATTTTTAAAAAAAAAAAAATTCCTGTAAATGAAAATAAAAAAAACTTCCTTTGTGTGATTAACAGGAACTGTGCTGATGTTGAATGTCTTCATTGGAAACATAGATTCAGTTACATTGGTGTAGAATGTCTTCGTTGGAAACATAGATTCAGTTACATTGGTGTAGAATGTCTTCGTTGGAAACATAGATTCAGTTACATTGGTGTAGAATGTCTTCGTTGGAAACATAGATTCAGTTACACTGGTATAGAATGTCTTCGTTGGAAACATAGATTCAGTTGCAGTGGTATAGAATGTCTTCGTTGGAAACATAGATTCAGTTGCACTGGTATAGAATGTCTTCGTTCCAAACATAGATTCAGTTACACTGGTGTAGAATGTCTTCGTTGGAAACATAGATTTAGTTACACTGGTATAGAATGTCTTCGTTGGAAAGATAGATTCAGCTACATGGTTGTCAAAGAAAATGCTTTGCGAATCCTTAACTAACCTTCAAGATTAC